ATTTGGTTTGGTTCACTGATAAGTTATGTTGCGATTGTAAGCGGTAAAAAGTAATAACTAAATTATTTAGTACATATATATATTTTGGATTTTTTCGTTTATTGAATCATAAATTAGATGCGAGATTGTAATATGAAACATGTGTATGGTTTTATACTTGATAAATGTTTGTTCCAGTAATACCCTTGGAGGTTGTTTGGTTGGAGGGTTAGGAAAAATAATTATAGCATATTATCACATAAAATAATACTCCCTCCGTTCACTTTTACTTGTCTAGTATTCTAAATATAGATTTTCACTTTTACTTGTCACTTTTAGCATATCAAGAGAAGACACTTTCTTTTTTCCTGTTATACCCACAATATTAATTACTAATTTCAAATCATTTTCTCAAATCCATTAAAAATATGCATCAATTAATATGGGTGTCATGGTAAATTATGCACTTCATTTATTATTACTTTAGGGACGTGAAAAGTCCAAAGTGGACAAGTAAAAGTGAACGGAGGGAGTACAATGTTTGGTTGGGGAGATTAGAATAAGTAATTTCTGCATAACAAATGTAGTGTTTGTTTGGCAGTATAAGAATCCCTGCATAACTTATGTTTGATTGACGGTTTTAAATAAGAAATATAGATAGGTGTCTTTGGAACAAATTAAAAAGGAAATAGTGTCACATAAGATGGAATGGAGGCACTTTTGTTTATGCAAGAGACGAAAATGGCAACCAAAACATTCTATTAGTAATCAGAATTTAATGCTGGAATTATTTTTTTTACTGGGAATCAAACGAGCCTTTACACATATTGCCAGTCATCTATGCATATTGATAATAGCACTGGCCTATGGAATTCAGACTTACTTTTGATTAGCTCTTTTCCTACTTGTCAAGTGTTTGTATATGTTTTTTCTTGCATCACGGTGAAAATTGTATCTGTTGACCATCAATCTTGTTCCCTCTCTTGCAGGTTTCTGAAGAATATAGGCTGGTTCCGGACACACTTTACCTGACTGTACATCTCATTGATCGGTTCCTCTCTGAGAATTACATTGAAAAACAAAAGCTGCAGCTGCTCGGAGTTACCTGCATGCTAATTGCTTCGTAAGTAATTCTCGTTTGTGACAATCATATCAAGGATGACTGACCAATCATGAAGGCCTTTGCACTTCCTTTATTCATGTTTTCCTGTTGAATATTTTCTTAATGTAGTCTAGTTTTTGTATAATGAATGATTGGTAGATTTTAAGGTTACAGGGTAAACTAAAATGTTTTTACATATTTGAATTTGTCGATCACATAGATATCCCTATATTTTCCATGGGAACTTGTGGGAAATAGAGCCTTCTAACTTAGTTCTTTTATTCTTTTAACTTGTATGTGCATGTGCTTTACAATAAGGTGATGAGCTCTTCCGAATTTTAAGAAATTCTTTATAGCTTCAGAAAAGAGAAACTAGCTGAACTTCCATCTGTATTTTTTCATTGGATTTTTTCTGCAGCATATAATCTTTTATCTTGTTTTTGTGCTTCCAGCAAATATGAAGAAATTTGTGCCCCTCGTGTGGAAGAATTTTGCTTTATTACAGACAACACTTACTCAAAAGAAGAGGTATGCTCATTCAAATGCTGTAATATTTTTAGATTTATTTATCATTATGGAGAATGATGTACATGAAGATGGGCTATGTAATAAAGGCAGTTAAATAACCTTAGTTTTGATTAATGTACGAGGCATGTGTCAGTTTTTTTTTTTTTTTTTTTTGCTTATTTGAGTTTATTTTCCTGTTTGCATATAGGTCATTAGTAACCATCTCCAATGTTTGGTTACTCAATGTTGGGCTCTCATGTTATGTTATCCTGCTCCTGATGTCCATCACTGGGCGTGCTGGGAGTGTTAGAGGCCCATATTGGTTGAGAGTATAGGTTGTAGGCCCATATAGGTCATTAATAACCATCTCCAATGTTTGGTTACTCAATGTTGGGCTCTCATGTTATGTTATCCTGCTCCTGATGTCCATCACTGGGCGTGCTGGGAGTGTTAGAGGCCCATATTGGTTGAGAGTATAGGTTGTAGGCCCATATAGGTCATTAATAACCATCTCCAATGTTTGGTTACTCAATGTTGGGCTCTCATGTTATGTTATCCTGCTCCTGATGTCCATCACTGGGCGTGCTGGGAGTGTTAGAGGCCCATATTGGTTGAGAGTATAGGTTGTAGTCTCTTAATATGGTTTTGACAATCCTCAACTCATGAGTTAGTTCTTGGGGTTAAGCCCTAGGTCCGATATATTATTCTGTATCGTTATGAATCCCAACTATTCTTTCAGAATTTATCCTGGTAAATCAATAATAGTAAAAAACCTGCTCCTTCATACTCCTGCGCTAGTTCGTTTGACTGCCATTCCAGTAAAGTCACTCATCCTACAATTTTTTCTTTTGCTGGTTTGAACTAAATTGACTAGCCTATTCTGTTAGATGAACTAGCTAGATTGTGTCATCTAGCTCTTAGCTTTCCTTTTTTTCTTTTGACGATATATTGGATGCATACTTGTTCCTACTTGAGCAATTATCTGAACATTTTCCAGAATATTTTTTTAGGTCTTCTGTGATATAACTTAAAGTTCCTTCTGGATGTGAAAAGGCTAATATATTGCATGTCAGGTAGTAAGAATGGAAAGTCTAGTATTGAATTTTTTGGGCTTTCAACTTGCTGCTCCGACCACTAAAAAGTTCCTGAGGTACCTCCTACAGCTAACATTATATGCAAATTTTACTCATGTTGCTCGTGAGAGCAGGCTCCTTATTTGTGCCATTGTCCTTTGTTTTAGGAGATTTGTTCAAGCAGCACAAGCTTCATATGAGGTAGATGAGATAGCATTCTTGCTTTGGTTGAGTCCTAGAAAATGATGCTTATATGACCAAGTAAATATTGCTCCAACCTGCAGGTTCCCTCTGTTGAACTGGAATTCATGGCAAACTATTTAGCAGAGCTAACACTTGTTGACTATAGTTTTCTTAAGTTTCTTCCGTCTATTACTGCTGCATCGGCTGTATTTCTAGCCAAATGGACACTTGATCAATCTAACCACCCATGGGTATGCAACTTTTTTGCTCCTTTGATCCTATGTGTCATTCTCTTTGCAATTGTAATGCAACCACGAAATGACTTTGGAAATGGTTTGCAGAATCCAACTTTGGAGCACTACACTAGGTATACAGCGCTAGAGCTGAAAACCATAGTTCTTTTGCTGCAAGATTTACAGCTGAACACCAGCGGAAGCACCCTGAATGCCATTCGTGAAAAGTATAGACAACCAAAGGTAACTGTATCACAATCTTTCTTATTCGTTTTGCTAAAATAGGATATGCAAAGATGTTCAAACAAATGGGGGAACAAAAAGGTCCACATTTTCAGCTTGAAACATAATAGAACATCATTCTTTTCTCAATGAGTATGAGTTTAAAGAAAGCATCAACAATTCGTTTGTTATAACAAAAATACATATGATACACCTCTCCTTTTTGTACATTCCACATATATCAGCTGTTTATCATTTTAGTGTAATGAAGCTTTCGTTTGTATTTCAGTTCAAGTCCGTGGCAACTTTATCGTCTCCGCAGCCAGTCCAATCACTGTTCTAAGAAATGCTGAAATTAACTCCAGTTGGCCAGTTCAAGTTCAGCATATCCATTGTTGCTTTTCTCATGCGAAAAGACTGATCTTTAACATACAATAAACTACCATTCCTGGAAATAGACTCATTCTTCTGTTCATTCCTCTGTCAACTTTCAACCAGTATGTATCGTTCTACCATGTACGGGCACTAGCAGACTGCAGGTGCTACAGATACATGGAGACTTCAATGAAGCGAAGACAGTAAGTTAAAAGAAATGGCAATTGTAAGAAGTAACTTAACAGCATTTCAGGTTAGCTACTTGCTATCATGTATTTGGAGTTGTTTGAAAGCTCCTGTTGTTAAATGGTTCCACCTTTGACATTTCTATTCTTTCGGCTTAATAAATCCGTTTTCATACTAGATACAAGTTTTATTTTTGTTAACGTGGCTGTTAGGTGTTTAGGGGTAGTTTGCAACGGGGGTTGGGTTGGTGCTTTTAAAACTGCATGATTGGACCCTTTCGAGCAAACAAGAATGTGAATCCTGAGGGGTCATATTGGTTTGCTGACAGTTATGCATAGATTATAGTGCATGGCATGCAATACAAGGATTAATAATCACGGATTATTTAGCGCATATGCTTTTCTAATGAATGTTTAGTTCACTGCAATAAAAATTGAATATACATTAAATATAATGTAAAAGTTGACAATTATACCTTAGTTCTCACAGCAAATTAAAAATAGAAAGACAAAATCAAGGTTATTTTGGTTGTTTAGGTGTTTTATTCTTGTAAAACTAATCCATGTAGAAGTTGTCTCATGTTGGATTCGGTCTAAATTATATCAGAATTGCAGTATCAAGTAATATTGGTATTATTTATACAGAAAATGAGATGCCTATCAAACACGTGTAAAATGTTGAGAATGTGAAAAAAGCAAAAGCATTCTTTCTGTTTTTAGTAGTGAAAGAAGATTCGATGTCATTATCGTGGTTGTGGATTATGGTCGTATTCTTCCATGCTATTGTTGAAAGTTCAAATTTGTTTTGCTGTAAAGTACTCCTTTACAACACAGAATAGTATAAAGAGGACAAGCATGGTGTCATCTCTGCTCTGTTTTATTCTCTAATAAAAGGTCTGGAAACCCAATTGCAGCAGCTTCTTTTCTCTGTCTTTCTATTCTTGTAATTTAACCAATTCTCATTGGCGTTTATTTCAAAAACAGGTGCAAAAAAAATCCTCAATTTTTGGCAGAATATCACTACAACCATTTTTAATAGATGCAAACTTAGTACAAATATTTTGTTGGAGGCAAAATGAAAAGGTAATATAGAAGCTTCAAAAATATACAAATGAGTCCATCTTTCTGGTAAGAACAAAAGAAAAGGAAATGGTGTCAAACAAATTTTCACAGTGGGAGTCAAAAAAGGCTACAATCCAGCTACTTTAAGAGAAACCTCTCCATTTTTCCTTTTTCTTCTTTTCCATATTAAAATGATATGAAAACACACTGATCCAACTAGCAAAGCTGAACAGTGAAGAAGCCAGCCAAGAAGGTGATGAAAATATCAGCCAAATTAGATAAAAATAGGCCATGACAAAATGTTCAAAAAGGAAAATAAAGAAACAGACGTTAGTTAGCCCATTACCAAGCCCCCTTCCCGTGCTCCTTCAGGGAAGAAATTTGATGAAACAAACACAGTTGTAGTACTAAGTTACAACAGTTAAGGCTGTCATCGGATTGATCTTCAAAAACCTTCTGCACCAATCAACAGCCATTTCCCATCCTATGATGACATTCTGGTTTCTCCGTCACTCCAAAACTGGGAGGAACATACACCGAGCAACATGGGGACAAGGATAGAGTGATGTGCCTCTTAGCAAGTGATTGAAGTTGCTAAAGGCATTACTAGAACACCGATGTTTCCAGCTATAGGTGGACGTAGACTTGCTGCACTCTCTAGCCGTTCCCATGCTTCCTTCCGTTTTTCAGCTTCCAAGTTTATTTTTTCCTGTTCTTCCTTGTAGTGAGAATGGCAAGCCATGAAAAACACATCATCCATTTCGGAGAACATCTTTCTTACATTTAGACTCAAGTTCTGCACAGCATGGTTCCAGTGGTTCTGAGCATTGTTTTCCACAGCTGGGAATATAATAGGGAGAATCACATGCCGGTTATGTGCAATCAGATTGATAATTTGGTCATTATTCCAAAGGAACAGAGCTCTTTCAGCTACCTGGACAATAAAGGTTCAGTTATTAAGATGACAAACAAGCGGCTTTGAAGTTCCAGAAGTGGTATAGTAGAAACCTTTTTGGAAATGCAATTACGACAGAGAGAGAGTCAGAAAATAGCCGAGGAAATTAAGACATATTAACATCATGGCTGTTAAGCATCACAACATGGACTAACAGATAATACTGAGCTAATGCAACATCAAAAAAACTCATCAAACACGGCAACCTTTCCAACAGAAGGGAATTCAATATACAGGCCTGAGGTGTATACCCATCACACCACCAGAGGCTTTCAGCGAAAATTTAAGAGTGAAGAGCGAAGCGAGAAAAAAGATAAAGGTTTTCAGAAATAAACCAACAACTAATTAAATTTTCTTTTGACCAATTAATCATTTTAATTCTTCTGTCTCCCTTCCCCTCCACCACAATCCACCCACCCACCCTCAACCACCCTCCAAATATGGCGTGGTGTCACTCAAGTGCAATGAATAATCTAGGTAGCAAAACTGGTCCAGAATTTCTAGGTTCTGTTAAATTAAATCCATAAAAGATCCAATTAAGTGTTCAGCTGGTCTCAGCCTCTGGAACTCCAATTTTTTAGTCTAAGAATGACCACAGATAAAAGGGCCACTTCAAACATCATCTTTTTCTTCTTACTGACAAGTTCTCTCGTTAAATTTTTTAACCTGATCCATAAAAATGCCCTTGCAAACAATATTAAAGTTTCTTCTTCAGCACTCTTCTATTTACTATCAATAGTGGTGAAACCAGAAATTTTACTCAAGAGTGTTCAAACTTGAAAGAGGTGAAAAAAATTCCCCGACGCAGTGTAATTCGACTTAGGGTGGTCAATTGACCAGCCTTTAAGACATGTAGCTTCGCCCCTGACTATCAGCCCTTTGAAACCACTTGTTAGTTCATTTAACAAGACTGCTGTTTCAAGTAGCCTAGAAAGACAAAAACTCATGAATACTTTCTTGGAGTTGGAACAAATCCTTCTGGCTCGTAGATCTTAAGCTTTCAAATCATTGCTCAAACCATCTCAAATTAAACGAAAAATCCCAGCCTGCGATCTAGAAATCTATTAGAGGCAGTTGAGATATCCGTTTTGAATTTTTTCATGTCACAAATCCTCACAACTAAAAAATGCATGTAAATCTGGAAGGATCCTGTCAAACAACTGGATGAAGAATATATGAATCAATCAACTGCATTTCCATCCCAGTTTAGTTGGGATCACTGTAGGAATCCTCTGTATACATTAGAAAGAGAATTCTTTTCACAATATTTGCTAATAGATCCTCGAGCGAACCATATCTGACCAACTATTCAGATACAATAAACAAAGGTAAAGATATAATTTAGTACACACACACACACACACGTCTAGCGACATAATTGTTACCTGAAAATGGCAACTATTGATGCAGCAACCAATCCGCCAGAACAAAGGAACCATCAATCTTTGGAACTCAGCCATGTTAATAACTTCCAAAATTTCTTCCAACTCACTCAAGAACATCACCTCTTTTTGGGTATTTGTGATGGGCCAGTACTTCAACAAGCCCCTGATCACAGTGCTAGCCAACTTGGGATCCTTCTCTATAAACTGCATAACACAATATGATAACTGTTGAAAGTAAATACCCAATGATTTTGGTTTGTGCAAAGGAATCAAAGCCCTTGACAAAAAGATCTTATGCTCCTCTTTCAATGGCAGAGCAAACCCCGTAATCACACTTCCGAATATCTCCAACAGCTCAGCAATCCCATTATGTTTCTCAGTCTCAAATACAAATCTATAGAACAAATTGCTTATACTCTTCCTTATAAAGGGCCTGTGGACCATGAACTTGCCATAAATCCTATGCAAGATAGCTTTCAAACAGTCTCTTTCCCTTGGATCTTCAGAATCAAACAAGTCGAGCAGTTTCAATATGAAGTGATGATTTATATACTTTTTTGCAACCTTAGCTTCTAGAGAAGAAGATGTTACAAACTTAAGCAATAGATCATACACAATTTGCAAGTGAGGCCAGGCAGGGTCAAAAGTAGGCTCATCATCCTCGTTTTCACTGGCGTGGGAATTGCTAGACCGATAATTAGGAGGGAAAACCCGAAACAAATTAACAGCACAAGTTTTACACATTGCAAGAATTGCAGGTTCTGAAAATTTGGGTGGATTAGAAGATACAAAATCCAAAAGCTCAAACAATGTGGCTCTTTTAAGTTCCTTTTCTGCTACATTCTTAGTTGGGTCCCTGAAATCAAAGTCTACACAACAGAGGCTTAACTTACTGATAAAAAGATTCATTTTTTCAGAGCTGGGCACATCTTTGAAGGAAATTAGAGGCTCAATCCCTGCAATCACACTTGCTGGGAACACAACTGAGGAGGTCCTCCTTAGAGCACTACTATTAGGCCTTCCAGAACCCAAATTCGGGCTTGCATTCGGGCCGTGAGAGCCCGAATTGCCTCTTGCTGAATCTACTGACTCAGATTTCAGTGCTTTCTTAGGAAGCTTACTCAGGAAATGCTTCCACATGGTGATTTTCACAATCTATAACACAGCAATAGACTCAAAGAGATACAGGGGGGGAGGAACACACTCAAATCAAGATATTACTGGTAAAGGGCAACAACCCTAGAGCTGTACCATGTCTAGTACAGGTCCAAGATCTAAGCCAAAACCCCATTGACCAAAAAATCAGTAAACTTTGAGTTATATAACGAAAAGGGGTACTATATTCTTCATCAAGAAGGAAGAAAAATCAAATCTTTCCTCAAAATGAGCAAAAGGGTGTTCAGATCTTGATTACAAAGAGGCAAAAAAAGGTTGTAGAAAATGCAAGAATGATGTAAAGCTGTAACCTTTTTGCTCAATTCTACAGCCTTGGATTCTTTAGAGAGAGAGGCTGGATCTCATTCACATTCATTAGAAGAACTATTTATATAGACATATAAAAAAAGATTCAGATATTACAGAGAGAGGAGGTGGGTGGTTGTCAGAATTGTGAGGTGGTTGGGTGGTGGGGTGGTGGGGGTAGGGGAGGAAGGAGATTCAGATGCTGATAACAAGGCTCAAGAAAACAAAACAAAAATGCCATTCATCATTCATGTCTGCATGCACTTAGTACTATGTATATCTATACATGTGTAGATATAAATACATATAGAAAAACAAGCTGTAATAAAGCTTTCTTCTTCATTAGGAAATTTTTGGTTTGGGGTGGTGGGTGGTGGGGTAAAAGGGTAGGGGTGGGTAGGGAACAAGGTAAGGTAAGTGGGTTTCAGAGCTTAATTATGAAGCTTGGCGAAGATGCATGGTGGCAGAGGAGAAATGGTGAAAGTCCATCATTGTTTGTTTGTATCTTTTTGACATTAATTTTATTGTAATAAAAGTGAAAAAAATAAAGGCAGTAATTTGAATGACTGGCTTACTTTTTATTTCTTTCACAATAATGTTCTGCTTTTTCTTCTCGATTCGTGAGATAGTTTTATTGCTTCCTTATTTATTCTGAGAGAATACAGGTGGGTCTCAGCCTCTCAGCTTTGGCCTTCTGGAAGAAAAAAGAAAAATGTAAATAGAGCAAAGTAACCACACAAATTTGAAAAATATCCTCTCTTTTTAAGCTTATTTTTTCTTAACTTTATTTCTTCTTCGATCTTGCCATTTTTCTTTTGTTGAAAAAAAAAACGTACCAAATTTTATCCAAGAATTATTTGTTTAATTTTTTGAATAATAGATTCTAAATTATTTTTAAAAGTGGTTTGAGGGTGTTTTCCGAAAAAAATTAATACAAAAATATTCATCAATGTTAAAAGGAAAACTATAACGAACCAAAAAATTTATTTTTCACACAAACCTTTCCTTCAAAAACCTTTTAAAAAAATTCTCCTAGATGTTGTTCAAACTGCTAATGCTCTTTTTTTGAAAAAAAAAACATAATGATCAAGAAAAAGGAGAGAAACGGTAAAAAATAAACTCAAGTATATTTGTGAGGAAGAATATCATTGACACTAGACTATAACCTTAGGATTCGTTTGGTACGAAAGATAAGAAATAATTAATTTTGAGATTAAATTTAAGATGAGTTTATTTCATATTTGATTAGGACAAATTATGGTATAACTAATCCTGAAATTAATTATTCCGGGATTATAGTGTTATTTTTATTTATATGGGAATGTGAGATAACAATATTGACTAACTAATCCCGCTATAATTAATCATGAAATAACGTGTTTCCAATCAAACGATCCCTTAGTTGTTTAATGCTTTCCTTTCTCAATTCATTTGTGTTTTTACGCAATGTTGTTTACTTTTTAAAAGAAAAAACTTTTAATATATGCATATGACTATACGAGAGTGATGTTGCATATCCGAAAAATAAGTACAGACAATTTTTACATAGAAAAGGGTATCAAATGATGATAAAGCACAATATATTGATTTTAAAGTAGCTACAATTAGACCATCTACTATTTGTATGATGCAATTTGATTACAAGTGATATCAATAATTACTCCTGAAATGTGAAAATAACATACCATATCGTACAAATCGACGCACGTAACAAGACGTACAAATAATTCTTTATCTTTTGGCATAATAATAGTTCTCCCTCTTGTTGCATATAGTATACATACAGTTCACAAAAGATATAGCCAATCTAACTTTTTATTATGATATATTATTTTCAAAAGTAGCACATGTAATTCTGGTATTTTTTTAGTTTAGAATACTATTATGTTTAAGACAGACAGTGTTCGGAGTAGTTTGCGTGTACCTCAATTATTTAATCAGTTATAAGACGAGTTGGAAGATGAATACATATTTCTTGCACGGATGACACTGATCACGCATGATAAATTTTGAAGTATCGATTATCTCTCGCCACCACATATAACGAATAACTCTGTTCACTAAAACCACCTCAGGAAAACCTACTTTTTTCAATCTGCTTATTTATTAATAGTTAAACGTATAATATTTACTATTTTAATTTCTTCTTCTTAAAATTGATTTATTGTTTAACCTTTCATTACTGGTATTGAGGGAAGAAGAATTTGAATGTTTAATGCGTTTCACACCTATTTAGGAGTAAAACAATTACAGAGAATTATGCTAAGGAGAATAAAAAGATTATAAATATATCGCTAACTTGCATGCATTTAGTCATTTACAAAACCGGCATTTTTAAACTTATCTCAAATTAGCACATTGTGTACGGTCAAAATCGATTAAGTCAGTCGTATGGACTGATCGAGGTGACAATACTTCGATTAAAGGGTATCTGCGTGATGACGGGTCGAGATCCGAAGTAAGGGCGTCGAGCTTCGAGCTCTAAGATCGATCAACGACAAGCTCGGTATCATTATCGAGCTCATATCCAAATCGAACTACGAGGCAAAGCGGAGATTATCGAAGATGCATAGACCAACCAACACTCACCCCGAATATCGAGACTCCGAGTGAGAGTCGAGCTCGAACCAAGGCCGAGGGCTCGATCCAATACCGAGCTCGAGCCGGTATCGAGCTCACAGACAAGAGCCGTTGCAACCGCACTAAGGGAGAGAATTTTGGCAGGAATCGAGGAAAAGACAATTCATTATGCGTTCTCCACTATATATTTTTTATAGATAAAGTAGGATCCCTCTACTATAAAGGGGGAATCTTTGTAAGTATAATGAGGACAGATGGTAAAAAAGACAACTTCAGAGAGATTAACATTTTTGGGCTCATTTACTTTGCCTTGTTCATGAATATTTCCTTTTTTTCTGCTTTATATTTTATTCCATCTGTCAAAGAATATATATATTTCTATTTCACTCTGCAATTTGTATCAAGTTATATCACGTAACCTTAGAACCATATACAAATTTAACTCTATCCAATTTTTCGGGTAAACAGTTTGGAGCCCACCGTGGGGCTAAGGATAACAGTGGTTATTTGATACGAATCTGCAAAAACACACCGTTGTGTTTTGCGCTTGTTTCCGAAAATATCTTGGATTTCGAATTAGCAACGACTAACTATCGGTCAAATGGCCACGCCGATCGACAACGAAGCCGGTCTTCAAGATGAGAACAATAACTTGACACCCAATACCGAAAGACCACTTGTCAACGTTGTTGGAGCCTGAATTGGAGCACCGATATATATCAATTCGCATGTGGACATTGAGGCGAACCTACATTCTGAACCCGAAAATAGCATCCATGGAGGCACTCGATCTGCAGCTCGAGATACCCATAACGTCGAGGAAAACGGCATTAGCTTGCGTATGATTTTCGAAATATTGCAAGCTCAATAGGCAGCAATAGCTCAGTTGCAGAGCCAAACCCAGGTACAAATCAGGTCGGAGCCCAATCTATCTCGAGAAATCACCCACAGAACGGAGCCAGCCATAGTGAAGTCAGATGAGCAAGAATCGGGGACTGCTCCCGAATTTGCTAAATTGCTCGAAGAACTCACAAAGTGAGTCGAAGCCAATGATAAAAAAGTAGAAACATATAACTCTAGGGTCGATCAGATCCCGGGAGCTCCACCAATGATAAAAGGGTTGGATTCAAAAGAAATCGTGCAAAAGCCTTTCCCCCCAAGCGCGGCTCCTAAACCGATCCCAAAGAAGTTTCGCATGCCCGATATTCTTAAATATAATGGAATGACCGATCCCAACGAACATGTCACCTCTTACACATGTGTCATCAAAGGGAACGATCTAGAGAACGATGAGATCGAATCTGTATTATTGAAAAAAATCGGTGAAACCCTGACAAAGGGAGCAATGATATGGTATCATAATTTACCGTCTAACTCTATCGATTCTTTTGCTTTACTTGCAGATTCGTTCGTAAAAGCACATGCTGGGCCCATAAAGGTCGAGACCAGGAAGTCGGACCTATTCAAGGTAAGACAAAAGGATAACGAAACGCTAAGAGAATTCGTATCTCATTTCCAAATGGAACGAATGGATCTACCTCAAGTCACAGACGATTGAGCTGTTCAAGCTTTCACTCAAAGACTAAACGAACGAAGCTCGACGGCTTCACGGCGGTTGAAGCATAACCTGATCGAGTACCCAGCTATTACTTGGGCCGATATGCATAATCGGTATCAATCCAAAATAAGAATCGAAGATGATCAGTTGGGTTCTGGATCCGTTATTAAAAGGGTTGCCAACCGAGAACGGAGATCGATCAAAAATCGATACCGGCCCTATAATGGAAATCCTATGAGCTTGTTGTGATAAACGGCTAAAA